TGTGTACACTTTCTGAAATTAATGATTGCTGATTAGTGATATCCCAAACTCTGCGAGAATGGAAATACATAGTCATCGTAGTCAAGCATTCAAGTTCCATAGTAAAAGTGTCCCAGGCAAACGGTATTTTGCGATGAATTTTGAGCCGTGTGGAAATGCATCATGAAGCCAAAAATTCAACGAAAACAAAAACATTATCACGCAACGATATCTTCACGTCTTTTTATCTTCACTATACGAAAGAATATACATTTTTGAGTATGTATGGGGAATTTCTAGTCAATCCAATAATAAATATGGCAGTTAGAGACCTGCTAAGAGTAACATGTCGCCGGCTGAGGCGGGATCGGCCGACGCGGGAAACGCAGCAACCACAATGCTGTGTTTACACGTTCATATTTCAATTGTTTACCAACCGATTTTCAAAATTCTTACACCATAAGATTGCCTGTACATTTCTTAGTCTTCTCACAAAATTTGACGCGAATCGAATGTAATCAGCGGTAAGGAGCGCGATGTAAAGACGGAACCGTTCCGTTCCGTCCCGGCACAGTCTACAATTCAGGCGGCGGCTAGCGGTCGGCGCCGGCTGCCGAGTCGCCGCGTCGCCGCGGCGACAGGATGTTCACTTTACACCGCTATTACTAGACCAGTTGTGAACCGATTTTCTTCTTGCTTGCACGATGAGATGTGCAATTCAATTTTGGACAAGAAGCTATAATTAATTTCGCATTAATTTACTATGAGATATTGGCGAAAACAGGAGGGGTGGGGCGAAATTCACTCTTCCCCCTCCACTGCGCGTGCTAACATACGTTTGCATATGTGCCATTTTCTTCAAAACTTATGAATGGCCCACTCTAATTTTTTCACAGGTTGTTAAGAATATGGTAGGCAATAAAATATATGAAAATTAGCCAAATCGAAGGTGACGTGTTTTTTGCTATTTCAATTTTTGTGCTTAAGAACAGAGTTAAGCAAATTTCAAGGTCATATATTTAAGTAGGTGCAATTCTAAACAAATGCTTAAGAAATTACCTAAACAGTAAGGTTTATTTCATTCAAATCAAACAAGTACAACCAAAGTTATGGTCGTTCAAAAATATAAAGATGCAACATTTTGTAAAAATTCGATGTCCTATATTTAGAGGACCTGTGGTCAGAATGTGCAAAAAACATCAATGTAATGTTCGGGGCGACACAGGAACTCGCTCACAAATTTATAATGAAATCGCTGATGGTAAGGTGCAAAACAGCCGATTTTTGTTCGATTTGACGTGGAATGCCCCCCTTGCCACCTGAGTTAACCGACCACCGCCATGCATTCGGCTGTCGAGGAGGCTGGAAGTATTCGCCGGCGACAAGAGCAGATGGCTGCGATCGGGCCGCCGCCGCTGCCCCCACAGGGATCGCCGTCAATGTCGTACCCCGCTCTACCACATTCGAAGCTGAAATGATCACTGCCCAGCCGCTGATCACTTCTCTCGACTGTACGATCTTTTGATGAACATGACATGCAACCGTCTGTCACAAAGAACAGCTAAATTAAAAACGCCGAGCTTTGAGGATTGCTCTCCTTCAACTTATTACCGACATGTGTTTATTTTTCTAGCGTCGGCAGCGGCTGTCCGTGCCACATGAGCTTAGATATTATTCTTTTACTGGAGGGATTCACAAAGAAGGTGCATTTGACACTGCCTGACAGCCTACATAGTGCTGCGACTGCGCAGCGGCTTGTCAGTAAAGTAAGTAGCTGGGAAGGATGCTGCATATATCACATCAAGCCATGCGTGTTGCGCCTTCTCAGAGTTTTACGTATAGTGCACTTGAGACTGATCTGGTTTAACCCCACTGGCTAACCGCATTGTCGCAACTATATAAGTAGGCTGTCAGCGGTACATGGGCAGCAGTGGAGCAACTGGCCCAACACTATGAAGACCGTGAGTGTTGGAAAAGAGCGTCCAGTCTTGTGAAACAAGAGTAGGGTTTATTGTGCACTGCTGCGCTTCCGAGTTGCACAAGGAAGAATTGTTTACATGGAAGAAACTTGTCACTGTGTTGTACCCACTTGCATCAGTCGTACGACAACTTTCTTGGACATATCACATCTGTTTCTCTTTCATAAGTGTGCAACGTGCATCAGCATGACGACGTAAAGGGTGAAGTGCAGTGCTTACTTGTTTAGTTATTTTCCTTTAGCAATGACTTCTCTTTACTTTCCGTAGGTTATACGTAAATCAATTGCTAGTTTAAATCACTGCTAAGAAGAAGCCTGAAGTCCGTGTTTCATTATCTGCATATTCTATTGACTAAATATGTAGAGTTGTATTGAATTGGCGATAAATTCATGTATTCCTCTAGGTGCAGGGACACCAGACCAGGCCGAAAATGGATTAATGGCTACCCGAAATCCACAGTCAGGCTGTGTCCGATAAGCTCCACACATACTAGGGACCACTTCCAGTGGATGCACCAGTCTCGCGCTGACAGAGGTGTTCCCGTGTACAGGTTGTCCTGCTCTGTCTGGTGGCTGTGGCCGCGGCCGATCAGTACGCCCGGATCGTCAACTATCAGTCCGGCATTGACGAGGATGGGTCGTACGACGCAGAGTAAGTAATCATCCTGGAAACTTCTCATATGAGAAAAAAAAACTAAAAATTCAACAGCATGCATACAGTGACATTCAATCGAGTTGATGTCACTCGTAAGAACTTTTAATAGTCTCATTTCATGTGCTAGTCATCCATTCATAGGAATGTGCATCGGTGACTCCACATATAAAGTACCTTTATGCCATTTATGGTCGCAAAATGGCTCAGTTGCAAATGTGCGGAATGGTGCCACTGATCGGAATGTTTTCTTTCAGGTACGAGACCACCAACGGTATCAAGGCCAAGGAAGACGGCATCTCCTACCCGGGCAACCTTCCCAACACCGGAAACTACGTGATGAGTGGCACTTACTCGTATACCTGGGAGGGGAAGACCTACACGGTCACCTGGACGGCCGACGAGAACGGCTTCCACCCGGAGGGTGACCACCTGCCCGACTTCAGCCACACCCGGGAACACATCGGCTTCGTCGATGATCATCTGTAGACAAAGAATCAGCCCCATTCATCAGTTCGCCGATTTTCCTTTAATCAACTCGAATGTTTGTTTCATGTCTCCACACCCAGCGTTCATGTGTATTGTGTAGTCATCTGTGTACCATCGTGGACCGTTCAAATGTCTGTAACTTGTGCAATAGACGTCTGCGTAGCAACTGCAATAGCGGTGTTCTGTCGTCCTGTGTGTAGTTTGTACTTATGTCGTCATGCTTCTTCCATTCATGAAAAAAGATGTCATCGTTCCTCTGCTCGTAATGTCAATGTTTTGAGCGCAATGCTCTTCTGTCCATTGTCTTGGTTTTTGCATAAATGTCCTATGTGTATGCGCTGTCCACTTACTGTTTAGAATGTCTACATAGTATCTGACTGGCGCAGTAAAATATACCTTTCATCCAAGCTGATTTTGGTTTAATTAGTGGGTGTTGACCTAACAAACTTTTGTTTTTGGGTTGTTGTATCTCTCAAATCGTATAAATTAATACCTTGTTGCTGACTTCTATCATTGCCTTTTCTGAAATATCTTCGTACTTACACGAATTGCTTCGTACTTCGATTGCTTTATTTGACACAGTAACAGTAATGATGGACGCATTTATGCAGGGTGTCCGAAAAGTCCTGCCGCCTCTCTTATGTCGCCTAACGGGCGCTTTGATTGGTGGAAGATCAGTTAATCACTGCAGACATGACCTATCGCGAACGGTCACCCGGGGTCCGTGCAGATATGAGCTTGTCTTTGTGTTCAGTCATGGATAAACAGGTGAAGGGGAGCCTTGTCGCTGACTGCCTACTCGCAAAGGACGGGTGCAGCTTAAGCTTGGCGTGAAAAGCAGAACGATGCGGAGTTTCTCGACGAATGAGACAGCAGGTGTAGGCAAGGATCCGACATGGGGGTTCCTTAGAAGATATATTCATTTTGGGACGGCCGGTGTCGGCCAGAACTACCGAAAATGTAACAGCCATTTCAGCGGTAAGGTAATCGAGAAAAGACGTGGGTCTAATAAAAATAGCTGAAATATTTAAATGAGCGGATGACATAACCGGAGCCAACGGCAAAACAGAGTTGCTGGGTAGGCTGGGTAATCTAAATGCGAAAGTTCAGCGTGTCCATCGAAGCCGGAAACGGTCCACCCCACCCAATTGACTTTAACTGGCTGCGGCTGCTTCCGCCAACCGCAGAGCATTCCCGTCGGGAGCCTCATATATCGGGCACCAGAGGGACTCGAACCCAGTCTCTCACTGCCGGGAGTCGAACGCTCTACCAGCTGAGCTGCGGAGGCAGAAGTGGACAGAAATCTTACATCATCTTCGTCGACGCCAGCAGGCTTGTCTCCGAGGGGCTTTTGGACAGACATGTCATTCCGTAGGTTAATTCGACCTACCCAGAGGGTCACTTCATAATTCAAGAGGACAAAGCGCCCACTAACAACGCCGCTGCACTCAAAGACAAACTGACAGAGGAGCTCGGCGGGTAAGATCACCTCTGGATGCATGAAATGTGGCTGCCTCAGTCCCCTAACCTAAGCTCGTTCGATTGCGGCGTGTATGTGTCATGCAGAATGAGATCAAGGCTACCTCTCAGGTCATCTCAGCCTAATGGAGTTGCTAAGGGCTCGTATCCTGGCAGCCTGGGAGGCTCTGGAGATGTAAAACCTCTAAGCTTCTTCGCAACATCATTGGAGCTGTCGTCGGCGCAGACGGCGGTCGCATCGAGTTCGCAGTTCGTGGAAGAATGTTGCTTGGTGCATCTCCGGCTATTGTTTTAGCCCATTTTTAAAGGTATCCAGCCGCATGAATTATATAAACGTCATTAATTTGAAATAATTTAATATTCTTTATGAAAGAGCCAGCTCTTTTCGGTCCCATAGTTGGCATTCCATGATAAAATTAATAATAGAGTACACAAAATATATTGTCATTCAAATTCACGGATCGGTAACGGAGACGACACTTCTTGTACACGGAGATCAGACAACAGACGACACAGTACAAACAGAAACACACAACGAGTCTCAACTAACAACAACACACGCTCCAATTGTCTACAGATGATCGTCGACGAATCCGATATGTTCCCGGGTGTGGCTGAAGTCGGGCAGGTGGGCGCCCTCCGGGTGGAAGCCGTTCTCGTCGGCTGTCCACCGCACCGTGTAGGTGACACCGTCGTCGCCGACGTACGAGTACTCTCCCTCGATCACGTAGTTGCCGGTGTTCAGCTTGTCTCCCGGGTAGGAGATGCCGCTCGACGTCGACCTGATGCCGTTGGTGGTCTCGTACCTACAGCGAAACAGACGTTAGCGAACTGATAAAGTGAACTGCTGTCAAAACACAAGTTTCGAATGACCAAGATTGAAGATATGATTGCCGATGGAAGTGAGGACGCGTCCGTTGCACTCACGTGGCGTCGTAGGATCCATCCTCGGCGATGCCGGCCTGGTAGTTGACAATGCGGGCGTTCTTGTCGGGCCGAGCGGCGGCCAGCGCGACGAAGCAGAGCACGAAAACCTGCAGGACGGTGGTGACCAAATGTAAGCAAACTTCCGGCAGCGGTAATCAGGGAACAGTGAGTGCTGTGACTCAAAGACTGTGACTCAACCAACACATCTGCTGTTCATTAGAGAAAAGAACTAAACCAAGAGACGAAACTTTCTTACTCAGTTAGAAAATGGGCCATAAATCTGTGATTTTCATAATGAATACCACGGTCTTTCTTTTTGCTACCTTTGCCTTTTAGTACGTTTACAGCTATGGCTCAATTTTCCTCATCGCTGTAGGAACACGAAAACTCTGGTCTATCCCCGTCCACACAGCAGGTGCAATTTACACCACTGATCACAAAATCCTGCCACAAACAACTCGCTCAGAGCCATCCACTACGCCATACATGTTCCGAGCCCGGAATGACACGAGCTTTCCACCGAGTAATACGTGCTCAGAGCTCCACGAGATGTGACACGCCGCGCGGCCCAGTCGGTGACAGCCACGAAATAAGCACTGCACTGAACTCTGGCGACCTTTGCTCGGCCCACACTCACGGTCTTCATGGCGTTGCCTCAGTTGTAGCACTGGTGGTGAGCAGACAGCCTTGCTCGGCTTTTATACCTGGATAGTTTGTACATGGGCTCAGATTCGCGCAATCAACTCAGATTGCGCCAAGACGGACTCCCCTGATTGGGATTTGTGCATTCTGGTGAGCCAAATCGGGCTATGTGTAGCACGGCGTGCGTGTAAGCCACCAAGTCACCCGGAGCAGCTGTCAGATTAGCGGCGGAAAATTCGGTCCCGTTCTGTCCCAGCACCTACAGGTGATTCCATTCTTATGTAAGCACATCCGTGTGGTATTTCCATACAAAGTGGATCAGTCGCCGGCAAAACCAGAGCAGGGCCACCTGGGGGCTACTGAATGGTCCCAATAGAATGGCGGAGACAGGCATGAAGTCTGTCTCAAGAGCCTGATTAACCAAACTTCTCAGAACGTATTAAAAAACAATGCAAAATTTGAATAATGTTTACAAAAAGGCCAGCGCAGGTGCATGAGGTGGCATGTGCACATATCCAAAAAGATAGGCCAATGTGGTCACCGATCCAGGGAACAACGTTTTGACAATTTAGCTGCCCAGTGCCTAGTGCAGTGTTCTAGGAACATCAAGGTCTTCACCTAAGCAGAGGAAGGGTTATTGACCGGCTGCCCTCCACACTAGAAACCGGTGATCCTTCGCACTGCTGCTGAAAAAGGAAGAAGATCAGCTTTAGAACACTGATTATAATTGTGATAAGTGTGCAGACCTTTACATTTCGGTAATCGGATCTATAACTCCCGGCATAGACCTCAGTATACCTTTATTTATACCTGTATACCTTTCGGTCATAAATCAGAAGGGTAGAAGTAAATGTTAGCAACCGTTTTCATTCATTTGTTCGCTCATTCGTTCATTCGTCCGTTTCTCCGCCAGTCCGTCCGTCCGCCTGTCTGTTGGTGCGCCCGTGTGTCGTGCGATCGTTCGTTCGTCGTTTTGCTCTATTTCTTTGGTTGTTCATTCATTCATCCATTCATTCGTTCGTTCGTTCGTTCGTTCGTTCGTTCGTTCGTTCGTTCGTTCGTTCGTTCGTTCGTTCGTTCGTTCGTTCGTTCGTTCGTTCGTTCGTTCGTTCGTTCGTTCGTTCGTTCGTTCGTTCGTTCGTTCGTTCGTTCGTTCGTTCGTTCGTTCGTTCGTTCGTTCGTTCGTTCGTTCGTTCGTTCGTTCGTTCGTTCGTTCGTTCGTTCGTTCGTTCGTTCGTTCGTTCGTTCGTTCGTTCGTTCGTTCGTTCGTTCGTTCGTTCGTTCGTTCGTTCGTTCGTTCGTTCGTTCGTTCGTTCGTTCGTTCGTTCGTTCGTTCGTTCGTTCGTTCGTTCGTTCGTTCGTTCGTTCGTTCGTTCGTTCGTTCGTTCGTTCGTTCGTTCGTTCGTTCGTTCGTTCGTTCGTTCGTTCGTTCGTTCGTTCGTTCGTTCGTTCGTTCGTTCGTTCGTTCGTTCGTTCGTTCGTTCGTTCGTTCGTTCGTTCGTTCGTTCGTTCGTTCGTTCGTTCGTTCGTTCGTTCGTTCGTTCGTTCGTTCGTTCGTTCGTTCGTTCGTTCGTTCGTTCGTTCGTTCGTTCGTTCGTTCGTTCGTTCGTTCGTTCGTTCGTTCGTTCGTTCGTTCGTTCGTTCGTTCGTTCGTTCGTTCGTTCGTTCGTTCGTTCGTTCGTTCGTTTGTTTGTTTGTTTGTTTGTTTGTTTGTTTGTTTGTTTGTTTGTTTGTTTGTTTGTTTGTTTGTTTGTTTGTTTGTTTGTTTGTTTGTTTGTTTGTTTGTTTGTTTGTTTGTTTGTTTGTTTGTTTGTTTGTTTGTTTGTTTGTTTGTTTGTTTGTTTGTTTGTTTGTTTGTTTGTTTGTTTGTTTGTTTGTTTGTTTGTTTGTTTGTTTGTTTGTTTGTTTGTTTGTTTGTTTGTTTGTTTGTTTGTTTGTTTGTTTGTTTGTTTGTTTGTTTGTTTGTTTGTTTGTTTGTTTGTTTGTTCGTTTGTTCGTTCGTTCGTTCGTTCGTTCGTTCGTTCGTTCGTTCGTTCGTTCGTTCGAATTTGTTCGCTCGTTCGTTCGTTCGTTCGTTCGTTCGTTCGTTCATTCATTCATTCATTCATTCATTCATTCATTCATTCATTCATTCATTCATTCATTCATTCATTCATTCATTCATTCATTCATTCATTCATTCATTCATTCATGCATACATTCATCCATTCATTCATTCATCCGTTCATTCATTCATTCATTCATTCATTCATTCATTCATTCAATCATTCATTCATTCATTCATTCATTCATTCTCGTATTATTTATAGGCGGGATGAAATTCATCCCAATTGCAGTGTGAAAAAATTGCAGGTACAGCACGAGAGTGAGTTCGTCATCCAGCTAAGATCAAAACAAGCTCCCTGATTATATTTAACTCTTAGACGTTTATTGGCGCGTTTTAAATGCGATTATCGAGCGAACACCGCCCAACATTGTAAATACGAAAATTTATATCACCTGTAGCGATGGAAGGGCATGAGTGAGCAGATAAAATTACTGAGCAGTGAATAAAAAAGAGATTGAGCGAAGATCTGTGACCCATTTATAAACAAAACAGCACAGCGTCATCATTCTTCATTGAAACCATAGTTATGTAGCCCAGCCAAGGTCACTCAGACATGTTAAAATTACATAATATGGGTCCTGACGATAAATAATCGATATTTGTTCTTTCGCCACTAATACTTTAAGCCAGACGCATTCTCCGAATGTGCCCCGCTCCCTGTGGTACTATTAATTCTGCAAACCGCGGTGCCCAATGGTTTGGCTATGCAGAGAGAGAGCAGCTGCACTGGGGAGAAACTAGTTGAGTTCGTTGATCGAACTGATGAGGGTAATCTGTGTCGGAATGATTGCATTGACCAAGAATGCAGCGCTGGTCGGGAGAAGGGCAGGTATAAAAGGATCTCGGCTATCGAGGATTGGTATCAGTTCACCAGTGTATCGGACCACCTATCCATCTCATCATGAAGGCCGTGAGTTGCCCAATGAGGAGCATTAGCTGTACATGATATCGGAGCCCAGAACAGCTGGTAGTGACTTTGATGGAATATATTCTGCATGAAATTTAACTGATTAACTTTAAAGATGGTTATTGCCTAAATATATATGTGAGCTCGATTTAGCGGATGACTGATTAACTGCTGGTGAAGCTCCATCGTTTGTTGTGGCACCTTTCTTGGGTATTTTTTTTGTGTACGTTATCATGTAACCGTTTCGCCGGAGTTACCCTATTTATTTTACACTATTTCGTCTTCTAAGGTATTACAAAACACATTCGATTTCAGATTATCTTCCTGTGTCTTGTTGCCCTGTCCGCGGCCGACCAAAGCGCCAGGATTGTGAATTACCAGTCCGGAATTGAAGAGGACGGCTCGTACGCAGCACAGTAAGTACCAGTTCCAGTCAAACATTCTTACACGCACGGACCAGTGATAAATTATTATGAACAATGCAAATTACGGAAATGGTGCACCCATTTTTCTGAGCAGCTCAAGTTTCTTGGGCTTATTATATGAAGTACCGGTTTATGAATTATACCGCTACCTGCAATATCGAACAGTGCAGAGCAGACGCCTTGTGAAGCTAATGGTAGGTGGTAGCGTAAATAATATTTGCACTTTTTCAAGGAGGTGCAGATACAAACATAAAATGAGCTTCCGAGAGAGGTACAAATGGTACAAGATTTGTAAATTTGTTACACAAAATATATATGAAACATTCAGCGCCAACTTTTTTCCAGATTTGAAACCACAAATGGCATCAAGGCCCAGGAGGACGGCATTTCTTACCCTGGAAATGTCCCTGAAGCTGGCAACTACGTGAGGAGCGGCTCGTACTCGTACGAATGGGAGGGAGTCACCTACACGGTCACCTGGACGGCCGACGAGAACGGCTTCCACCCGGAGGGTGACCACCTGCCCGACTTCAGCCACACCCGCGAGCACATCGGTGGAGTGGAGGATCATCTGTAGACGAGTAGCGGACTGTAGAGACTTTTGTATAGGTTATCACGAATCATATTGACTGCCGAAGACTCTTGTGTCTGAAACTGTCTAATCTCCTCCTTAGATACTGCGATAGTAGTGCTCCTTGAATAGCCGCCGAGTATGGGCGATGAGATTGGCCATGCTCAATGCTCATATCAATGTTTGTGATTCATTTAATTATGTGTTCATCATCTTTTCAAATGTTGTGCAGTGGTCCTGTGTTGCAACTGTTATTTTGGGTGAAATGGCAATAAATATGTTTACGCGCGTAAATATTTATCTATTGGCAAATGTAAGCCGTTTCGACCATAAGCTCACACACACCTTTTCGTTATACATCATGCGGGAAACTGAAACGTTTCGTTAAGTGTTTTTTTTAGGAAATGTTTAGGACACCCAGTGAAGGTCAGCAGCCGGCAATAACAGGCATCTACAAATATTCGTGCAAAGCAAAACAAATAAAGACCCATTGCACGATACCCCTGATCTCTTTAAAATCAGCGGCTCGAACCGGACACTTTGATTGCTTTTCTATGTTTAGAAATGAAACTATCAAGCCAATCCTGATCAATTATGCACAGCACGCCATTGATGAATCATTGGCAAATGGCTAGATTACTTTTATGTATATGCAAAACCAAGTGCGAACCTAATCCGTGCGAAATCTGAACACTCAGCAAAGAATGCACTGATCAGCCTTTCTGACAACAATAGCTGTGCACGTGTATAAAAGCGAGTATTGGCCCGCGTTCCAGAGTCAGTGCGTTTACCGATCAGCAACGAACACCATCATGAAGACCGTAAGTCCTCCAAAGTTCAAATATTAAGCCGTCCCACTGCCACAGACTGAAGCACAGAGCTTACCTGCTTCGGGTGCGCGTGTTTGTAGGTACCGCATAAGATGCGTTAGAAAAGAGTGCATTTGTGAGTGATTGGCATTTGAGCCAACCCTGAAGATTAGTGTGATCATGCTCGTATTGTGGTAAGAATGTAGTGAAATACCGATCAATAGTCTATTCGGGTTTAACGGAGAATGGTTGTTGACGGTGCGATTATTCCCTTACAAACGGAAAATCAAACAAATGGCTAAATCCCAAACAAGTGCATCAGCACACTGTGTCAGTTCCGTGTGACGCGTACCTACCCACTAACAGCTCCTAGTCCCACTTATGCAAGGTAAAGCTAACCTCCCTCACTCGCCAGGTCGTTTTTCTGTGTCTGGTTGCCTTTGCCCTGTCTGCGGCCGATCAAAATGCCAGGATTGTGAATTATCAGTCCGGAATTGAAGAGGACGGCTCGTACGCAGCACAGTAAGTTTATATGCGCCGGCACGCGCTGGTGTTAAAAAGGTGCCGAGAAAGCACCATTGTAAGAGAAAGCGCCAAGAGACTCAGGATTCTAGCATGATCCATCTTGGGCTGTAGGATGCCGCAGAAATCTTGACATACGCTCTTTTTGTCTTCTGAGCAAAGCCAAGCACTCTATAAATCGCACTGCAAGATAACTACGATACTATTCAAAACTCTTCATTTGAAGTCAGACTAGAATTTTAGAATTTATCCTTAACTTGATGAGCTTTGTTTCACCAATCTAGCTCCGAACCGAGCAGTCCGAACACCATATGATAACCTAAAAATAGCCCGATAATTCACTTAGATATTGATAAAACGAATGCTTAAAACACAGGTACGAGACAACCAACGGCATCAGGGCCCAGGAGGACGGCATCTCCTACCCCGGCAACATCCCCGAGTCTGGCAACTACGTGAGGAGCGGCTCGTACTCGTACGAATGGGAGGGCGTCACCTACACGGTCACCTGGACGGCCGACGAGAACGGCTTCCACCCGGAGGGTGACCACCTGCCCGACTTCAGCCACACCCGTGAACATATCGGAGACGTGGAGGATCACGAATAGACGCCAGTTGATTGCATTGTTGGAATTAATATCTGTATATGCCTATTAGCTACCTGAGACCTGTGTCTTCGTCTTACTCGTTAATGTAAAGTTAGCTCAATGTTTACGTGCTTGATCTGTCAGTAAGGAATACACTATGTGACGTCGACTACAGTTATCTGAATATACCTATATCAGAAATAACGTTTAGAAGAGCTGTACATTGATGTTTATTCATCCATCCATGCATCATTTTTTAGCTGAGAATATGATATGAGATATGAGCGATAAGAAGCACAAGTTAGTGTCAGATGCACAACTCTATGTAGATAAACAATAACTGATACAGAGCAGATAGAAAATTATAGACTCAGAGCTTTCTGGTGTTAGATAAATTACTTAGCCCCGACAAGATGGGTACTTATATATCAGAGAAAGCAAGCCGATGGCATTCATCGAAAAGAAGTGTTTGTGACTGACAGAACAAAACATAAGGCGAAACGCGTAAATATCATACCATTGACCGTAATAATGCTGACTGTGACTCCAATCGCTCCAGCTGCTAGCACGTCGGAGAGCGCAACGCCGATTCCTGCGCGACCGCAAAAAGGACACAAAACTCATGTTCGACATGTGCTGCTGTGCGAATCTGAAGCGATCGCTAAACGGTCCCATGTGATTCTCGGGCCTGTAATCCAGTGTGGTCAGCGCGTGCGTTTTGGGGGTATATAAGGCCCAGCGAGGTGTCAAATACGTACCAGTGCACACAGAAGCCAGTGTCGCGGATCCCACACCCGCTCCAAGCCGCCATGAAGACCGTGAGTCGCCGCCGAGACATCGGTTGTCTGTGGATAGTGTTTATATGTTTCTGACCCAGCTTCACCTTATAGTAAAGGGTGTAAAGCGAGATATAGAAAAATGTCTCCCTCCTGAGAAGACCTTTCTTCTTCAACTTTTTTAAAGAAAATAGCTCGTTTGTCGATTCAAGTCCACGTATTGTTCACATGATGGTTCCTGACAACGATTTTTCGTTATATTTGCTCAAAGTAAACGCACAATCCTCTTCTATCAACTAATTAGGTGCTGAGGCTATTCATTTGAAGTCATTCAGTTTGATATCAATTGCTATGCTCTAGCCTAACCACACTGAGTTATTTTCAACAATCTTCCTGTGACAGATTCTGTTCCTGTGTCTGGTGAGTGTGACGGTGGCGGACCAATCGGCCAGAATTGCCAACTACCAGTACGCCATCGCAGAGGATGGATCCTACGACGCCAGGTAAAGACGCGTGAAGATCACTTTTTCATTTACCGGGCCGGAATCGGTTCTCTCGGTGAACTGTTTGGCATGTTTTGAGGTTAATTCTGCTTCATGAATCTGCTTACTAAGACGACGGAATGGCAGTTCTCGATGGCTTTTGTGTCCCTCTGTTGCTGTTTTGATTGTTATGATAGTGCAGTCATTTCACATCTACAAAAAAGAAGGTTATAATAACTACATTAAATCTCAAGTGGCAAGTCATTTTTATACAATAAACGTCTTCTCTGCACACAGGTATAGGACTACGAATGGCATCGAAGCTCAGGAAGACGGCATCTCCTACCCCGGCAACATCCCCGAGTCTGGCAACTACGTGAGGAGCGGCTCGTACTCGTACGAATGGGAGGGCGTCACCTACACGGTCACCTGGACGGCCGACGAGAACGGTTATCACCCTGTTGGCGATCATCTGCCCGACTTCAGTCACACCCGCGAGCATATTGGTGAAATCCAGGACCACTTGTAAGGCCTGTCTCTACTCTGCTATCACTGTCTGCTCATGTCCGTTGTCCGGTCAATGTTGTCCCTGTGCTGAATGAGTATCCATCGTTATCAGTGTCATACTTGTCCCACGTCTTCATATCATTGTTTTACAAAAATACACTTTCCATGTGTTTCCAACTGGAATGTTTAGGTTATGATCTGGAGTTTGTGTTTTTTCACACCCTTCAAAGACGGGAAGGAAAACATTTCTTCGAATTAGGGTCTCAAGTGTGCAGCTTGATTATTTGATGGTAGATAACCACATATACTCTCTGGCACCAACAACTGCCCTGGATTTCTTACAAAACGAGCCACTAAACAAATCACAAAATATACATATGTAGATAAATCGGGTATTCTGAACAAACAACGTCTAACGGCTGCGTCTTCGGTAACCAGCTACTTCTTCGATACTTCATTAGCACCATGTAGTTAATCTAAAAAAGGATTTCGTTTCCGAAAGAATAGTTGCGATAAATTGCTCTTTAAAGATTAGGTTATTGCTCAAATTGATATTGTAAGTTCGGGCTTGTTATTTTTTTTAATGAGTGTTGATCTTCGCAGAAAGTTGAGCTTGAGGTGACGAGTTTACCTTAATGCCAATGAGTTTAACTTCTAGGTTCAAAATAAATTCTTCGTTGTGAATTTGATTTGCTATGTTGATTTGAGATGTGTCATTAGTAACTCAGTAGTTACAAAGAAAATAAGCTAACGGCTTTGCGAGTTTTCATGTTTATTCGAAAAAAAAAAAAATCCTTCAAAAATGCATACTTCGTGTACGAATATTATTACAGACAAACAGATCACACAAACATTAGACGTAGGACAGGACAAAACATTGCACGAAGAAACTCTCAGACCACGGACAAATCGAAGGACAAATCAACGAAGAAACCGGGAAACGCGCCACATGACAAACGTTTATCAGCTGAGCGTCACAGTTAGAGGATCACGGACCACGGTGATCCGGCCACAGCCGGTTCAGTAGCGTTCTTCCGTTGGCACGGCATCACTTGAAGACATTCGTTGGAACGGCGCGAAGATGCGATATTTACAGGAGCTCAGCTATTTCGCCGATGTGCTCCCTTGTGAAACTGAAGTCGGGCAGATGAGCTCCCTCGGGGTGGTAGCCGTTCTCGTCGGCCGTCCAGGTGACCGTGTAAGTGACGCCCTCCCAATCGTACGAGTAGGAGCCGCTCCTCGCGTAGTTGCCAGTGTCGGGCAGACTGCCTGGGTAAGAGATGCCGTCCTCCTGAGCTCGGATACCGTTGGTGGTTCTGTACCTGTGGATTTTAACAGACGATATAATACTTATGTCGATTATTTGACAACCAGAACACGGCATAATGCTGTTTACGCGAAGAGTGTCGTGGGAAAAAGACTGAAAAAATTCTACTTTCCCAAAATTTTGAAAGGTTTACCTATTTAATATTTACCCGGTAAATGTTAAATAGGTAAATGTTAATAAGCTAAATGGCATTTCGCTATGACATTAATACGACATAACTCATTATTTTCTATAATATTACTACATGAAATGTTACGGAAATTCCAGTTATCTTGGCCAACGTACCTGGCATCATACGATCCATCTTCTTCAATGTTGTACTGGTAGTTAGCGATTTTAGCTCCTTTGTCGGCCACGGCCATAGCAACAAGGCACAGGAGGATGACCTGCACGACACAGATTCTCAATACTTAAACGCCAAACAACAATGTTCAAACTTCCCTTATGACTATTATTATGTTTTTACTGGAACTTGCTGTACAACGTGGGAATGGCCGTGAATATGGGCATAATGTTACCATGTCTACGGTTTTCCAGTTCAATGCTTCAGTGTTTTAATCAAGAATTTTGAAATCATTATAGCCTAATTCCTCGGCTGGTAAGTCCTTAAAACACTAGAGATGTACATTGTACACAGTCACACAAATATTCGCGTCTATCGCTACCAGAATTGTCACTCGTTCTGCCCCATCGCGTCGTGGAACTTACTGTCTTCATGGCGAGGCCGGGGGTGGATCCGTTTCTCAACTGATACCGTTTCTCCAAAATATCTGGTTTATATACCGGACTACATGATATCGCGAACGGACTAAGCCACACCGCGATATGGTCAAACGGACATGTTCAAAGAAACTAAGAAGAAGGAGATCCCGGCAGCTTTGAACAAACACGTTTTATCAGCAAACATGGCATTTTTACATGTTAGATATCGGTTATTTGGTCAGACACAGGGTGACCGAGAATGAACGGTAAGGAGAGTGGAAGTAGTACTTCGCGTTAAGAAATCATTTCAGTGATATGCTATAGGTACAAAGAATAACGCAGCACTCTTCTTTGAGGCATAAATAATGTTCAAACACAATGAGGCAAAGATGTTCTCCGTATAACCAGCCGACTATGTGAACACGTCCTTCGCAACCAGACCACCATGTCCTCCGTAACCAGGCCAGCATGACCTCCGTTACCAGACCGCCATGTCCTCCGTACCAGACCGCCATGTCCTCCGTACCAGACCACCATATCCTCGTAACCAGACCATGACCACGTCCTCCGTAACCAGCCTACCGCATCCTACAGGCAGCCCACCCCACGCCTCGCATTGACAGATCGCCATCTGACGTCTCCTTCGTCACCAATTAATCTCTACTGAGGTGCCTCTGACTCACCAATCGCTTCACGCAGTGGTCGCTCCGGCGCATCGAACAACAAACAAAGATTACGTCTCATTACGGCCGCGCCGAAATACCGCTCATTCATCGCCGTAAACTCCGGGCGAGCATGCGGCCCTCTGCAGGTGCGTCCGGCATGTCGGTACACCGGCTCAGCATGCTGACCTGTCGTGCAGGTGCCCGCCCTGCTGAACTGTGGGCGACGGCGCAGCGCAGCGCGCCTCTAGCCCGCGGGCAACAGTGCGTGAGGGGTATTTAAGCGTGTGTGTACGGGGCCAGATGCATCAGTGAATCCACCACCGGCCAACAATGAAGACTGTGAGTGTGCGACTGCGGGCCGGCGGCGGCGCAAAAACGGCGGAGCGGGAGCCGCCGGCAGCCGTGGCGCGGGTGACGGGTCGGCACAAACAGCCCGGGGAGCGCGCGGCCGGCCGGGTGCAGATACCGCAGCTGGCGCTCGTGTTATAGAACGGATACTCCGTGCTGGGAGGCGCGGCCGCTCAATAGGCCATGTTTGTTTTAGCGATAGTAAGATTCGATAAAACGAGAATAGTTGCGATGGAAGTTTTAGGAGCTTAGAGGGTACTTCTGACAGTGCTACTCAGCATCCATTGGTCTAGTAGTGCGCCTGCTCGAATCCTCGGATTACTGAGATTGGTGTTAACCAGTCTGTAGTCATATGAAACTAATTTTTCACTTACATCACCGACATGGAAAATGCGAGCACGCTTCACTTAATCGCTCCAAAAGATAAGCCCGCGCCCACAACCACAACTCGGTCACGTCACTGTGACCTACCGGATTTGACCCGGTCAGATCACCCAGTTCGCGTTCTGTCAAAATGCGTCAAAATGCGCTCCCATACGAGCGTATCTAGTGACTAAAGCGTATCAGACGTATCTAGTAACTGAAGAGGAAAAACGACCTACTTCCTCCCACAACTGGTATTCCTGCGTCTCGTGGCTGTAACTGAGTTTCTAACTCTACTCTCACACAGTTTGTGCTCCTGTGTCTCTGTGGCTGAGTTAGTGTTGTGCTCCTCTATCTGGTGGCTGTGGCTGAGTTAGTGTGCCTATTCCCACAGTTCGTGTTTCACTGTCTCCACGGCTGAGTTAGTGCGTCTACTCCTACAGTTCGTGTTCCTCTGGTGGCTGAGTTAGTGTGTCTACTCCGAAAGTTTGTGCTCCTTTATGGTGTCTGTGGCTGAGTTAGTGTGTCTGCTCCCACACAGTCTGTGCTCCTGTGTCCTTTCTGTGGCTGAGTTAGTGTGTCTGCTCCCACACAGTCTGTGCTCCTGTGTCCTTTCTGTGACTGAATTAGTGTGTCTATCCCACAGTTTGTGCTCCTCTGTCTGGTGGCTACGGCAGCGGCCGACAGGCTGGCTCGGATCGCCAACTATCAGTACGGCATTGAGGAGGACGGCGCCTACGCATCAACGTAAGACATCGATCAACTCCTCAGTGCCACATCTCACGTAAAATGCGCCACTGCACAGTGATATTGAAAGAGCAAAAGTGACTTTCCCAGTGATGTGATTTTCCCTAGCTTGTGTGGTATAGTCAAAAATGAATTTAAGTGTTATTCTATCAGTTTAGTTGCTTTCCTTGATTTTCAGGTTCGAGACAACCAATGGCATTAAGTCATCAGAAGAGGGAACCTCCTACCCTGGCAATGTCCCCGAGTCTGGCAACTACGTGAGGAGCGGCTCGTACTCGTACGAATGGGAGGGCGTCACCTACACGGTCACCTGGACGGCCGACGAGAACGGCTTCCATCCTGTCGGAGATCATCTCCCCGACTTCAGTCACACCCGGGAGCATATTGGAGAGGTTCAAGATGTAGAAAAGTGAATATGTGGAATAGTGCGTGCCCACCGCTGTTCTTTGGGCCACGCAAATATGTGGCATACGATATTAAGTGTACCGGAACGGTCCAGTCAGTATTTACCGATGTCAACGGGGAAATATGTGTTGTCCTGATTGTGATATTGATATGTTTGTCCTATGTTCAAATGCTGTTTCGATGCCAAGTTACATATATGATCACCAAATAGTGTCCGTGTTTTAATTGGGAATGATTGAAAGCACATTAATGATGACCGGTTGAAAAGCATCGAGATCAGAAACACTAAAGGCTGAAACAGATTCTTTCCGCAGTCAGGAAATCGCATGCAAGAGCCTATTCAAATACATTAGAATCCCGCCCGCATCAATCGTATGCCGGAGGTGCGTACGAATGATGCGAGCGTGATTTAATGCATTTGAATAGGCTCTCGCATGCGATTTCCTGACTGCGGGAAGAGTCTGTTTCAGCCGGCTAACGAGTAGAATATCATGCATCCTTGATCCTACCACTATGAAGTAAATGGCAAGTGTTCACTGTGTCTATCGGTTTCGTACAATATCAGTGGTTAATCAGAGAGAGAAAAGGAAAAAAGATTAATTTCTCCGTTAAGTACTTGCGTTCAACGGGATTAAAACTGCTACAATTTAACCCATTCATAGCAAAATATCCAGTCTCCAGACAAGTGAAAAAAGCTTTAAAAAATCGACATTTATTCGTTACTCGTGCAAAGGGTCAGTACGGCCTTCGTTTCCGACAAATGGGTAGTAATTAACAAGCTGTTGAGCTACCGGACCACGGTGACACAATATGAGGTCATCAGCGGCTTACGACTCTGGCGGTGGCAGGTGGCCCCCAGTCAGCCAAACCACAGCTCAGCACAGCTGGGTGGGATGGGAGGCAGCGACACCGGCGTTGGGCGCTAATGAGAGGCTTAACAGTGCCACCTCCGACAGGGGGATTATCATATCTCAAATAAATATCACATCACATATCCTACAGTTAACACAAATAACAGCAAAAGTAAATGAAGAGCTTGCGTGGAATACTTTTTGTGATCCAATCTGCATGTCAATAAACGATAACGATATACTTGACATAAAACTTAAAACATCTTGCGAGTACCGTCAAATACGACTGTAATGGTCGGGTCGAAACCGGTCAGGTCAAAGTGCCGTGCCAGAGCTGTGGTTAGCACGGTGCTCCAATCAAAATAGTCGTATCATCTATCTCCATGAGTACCTACATGGATTTGTATAAAACTCCAAGGCAAATATGTTCATTCATTTGTTGGATTTCCCCAAACCCAAACCAGAAATTGTCAACTGACTTTCAGATATACCATCTGTCATAGCTCCCAGTATCATATCAGTAAACATTGAAAGGAACTATGCCTTTGGAAGTCAATGTGCCCCAGTAGGGAGTTGATATTCTATTAAAAACGAGTCAAATGTACGACGAAATTAAAAGGTGACATAGTCTGGTCAGCATTCAGCAGCAATGTATGCTGACACATTTGCTAAAGGCCTTACACATTTGATTTTGAAACGCACATAACAAGCTTGATTACGATGTCTTCCGTGGAAGACTCCATCGGAGGAGACACTGGGGACTCATGGAAGGAAAATCGAAATCGTCACATGGCCGTGAGCAAACATGATGAGTGGAGCACAAAACGACATTGTAGGACGCTCAGCAAAACAGTAGGGCTTCAGACTCTGGAACGACAATGAGCTTTTTGTCCCGTCAGCTTGCATTGTTTTAGGGAGGATGAGCTGACAGCATATGGCCGCTGTCTTCATATACGCGTGCGTAAAAAAACAACAGATTTTAGTTTTTTTTTCAGTCAACTGCTAACCTAAGAATACTTTAACGGTAAACGTTGCTGGTGGCATCCTCGATTCAGCCTGGCTAATTAGGCACATCAGAAGGTTGTGAAAAAGTATGACCTTCGATACGTTTTAAGATCTGCTTTAATGTTTCCCAGAAAATCCTATCTGAATAACCACAACGTGCTTGTCAAATGGATGTAAGCGGCAAAGCGACATACAATCACTGAGAGCTTTATCACATTTTTGTCCAAATGTAGCGGCAAATCTCATTTTCCGATGGTGAATGGTCCCAAGGCAGCCGGGAGCTGCTGGCTAAGCCAATGGAAGAGTGACGTTTACTGGCGTCAAGCGCGCCACTCTGCGTGACAAATCGCAAGGCTGCTTCCCACCAGAGTCGCGAAAAAATGCAGGATTAAATTTCTGATTGAATAGCTGTCAGTTGGTGACGTATATAAGGGGGTATGATCGCAGCAATAGGCATCAGTCGATCACCAAAAGCTCAACAATGAAGACCGTAAGTTACTCTGGAAGAAGCTCTCATACCACCTTGTGAACTGCGGCGGGCAGAGGGAATATATTCTTATCACCAGTGAAGATTGTCGTGGTGTGGAACACATGGACCGCAGTGTTCACGTGCGCAGCTTCAGCAGTGCTTATCAGTGTAGTGCTGAGTGAGAATCGGTAGTTGGAGTTGGTCACAAGTTATGGACCTTGTGCAATGCGCCTCAAAGCCAATAGTTGCAACCGCCAGCAAAGGTTGTAGCCAGGCTTTTCAATTGTGATGGTTTCTTCTCTGGATATGGCCACTGTAGCTAGCTGGTTTTCTTGACCATCACATTGCTGCAAAACAGGCAATTTCGTAGTTCATTTAAGAAAAGCAATATGAAATTTCTCAGCCTTCATTAACCGTCAATAATACGGCTTACCGACTACTTAAATTTGCTAACTGACATGTTATCCTAAGTCATAAAAGCTGGCAATAACTCTCATGCTGCTACCTGTATTGAAGCACAATATTTCGCTGTCATTTCCAGATTCTCCTCCTCTGCCTGGTGGCTGTGGCCGCGGCCGACCAGAGTGCACGGATCGCCAACTTCCAGTACGGCATTGAGGAGGACGGATCCTATGCTGCCAAGTAAGAGAAATGGCCGATGAGCTGTGATTTGTGAGTGAGCCTGTAACGAGTGTGTCGGTTTTATCTCATTTATAATTAGGTATGCTGGTGTGTCTTTCGTTTACTACTCCAAATGTTACAGTTTTTTTTTTCGTTTCCCAACATCTTGACAGACACGTGAAATGCGAATTGCGTAAGCAATACGTTTTCATGGCAACAAAACAATGCATTGTCGTTTTAGTAGTTTTTCTCCGGCGATGAATGCATGCATCATGAGTCCGTGTTTTCAACATGAAATGTGATTTCGGTAGAGAATAGCCGTTTTCACGACGGGTTATCCGGCGAGTGCACCTAATTTGACCAAATATGCACCTAATCGCTTTTAAAGCAAATATCTTTATTCTATGAATTTATTTCAGTATTTTAATCGATGATGCTCTCTGATAATATGACAAAGCAGGCATATAAGCAAAAAGTGCAACCCTAGATGATAGCTACTAAGAGACACACTGAACCTAATTTGACCAAATCTGCACCTAATCTGCACCAAATGTGCACCAAATGTGCACCAGATGGCCGTCGTGAAAACGGCTAATGTCGATTCTTCTCCGAGATGTTTTAAGGCACGTCGGAAATCAATTGCGACTAACTCCCTTTTCAACACTACAGGTACGAAACTACCAACGGCATCAAGTCTGACGAAGACGGCATCTCGTACCCCGGCAACATTCCCGAGTCTGGTAACTACGTCAGGAGCGGCACCTACTCGTACGAATGGGAGGGCGTCACCTACACTGTGAACTGGACGGCCGACGAGAACGGCTTCCACCCGGAGGGTGACCACATCCCCGACTTCAGCCACACTCGCGAGCACATCGGTGGTGTTGACGATCATGAGTAAATTTGTGAAAATCATTCATCTACAGTAGTCTCTCATCAGATTTTGACCGGCGCTGTGGCTGTGGCCACTGTGTGGAACACTAAAACGCCATCATAGCCTGCTATATGTGTTCGTCCACGTCTCTATATGTGTTTGTCCCGTGCAATGTGTGTCATGTGACTCGTCCACTTGTTGTGTCCCGAAACACTAAAGGAATACAATTATTTTTTTAATGTATGGGCTTTTGACGAATTTCGATTGCGATTGACACTAGATTTGGGAGTTGGATTCAGTCTACCTTGTCTCCCATTCCGAAATGCTTATTTGAAGCACATGCATTAGTTGTATATGCGATTGGAAAGTGGAAAGTGGAAACTATTTGTAATAGCCCAGTTTATCCTAAAGGAAAAGCAGCTGTTCTCCGTATATCACCTTTCTAAATGAGGTCCAGGACCTAAGCATAAGGTGACTTATCAGCTCTCCCGGGTGAATGAGAAGTTGGTGCCTCCCACTGACGATTTTTTCGCAATTGCGCTCGGAATTCGCCGGAGATAGAGACCTGAAAATGATGTACTCGTATCTGGCCTTTCATTCCAGCCGAATCTTGTATAACAACACACATTCTCATGTTAACCCTCGCATGTGTAGGGGGGGGGGGGGTTCGGATGGACCCCCATGGTTTTTCCGCGAATAACTCGCGCAAAAAGCGGCCGATGGCGACGAAACTTTCATTACCCTCGAGTTGACCAACTTTACACCTACTCTGAAAATTTCATGACCCTGACCCAAGTGACCTTTGACCTGTGACCTACTTCTCGAGGCCATGTTTGGCCGGAATCGCGATTCGGCGTATGTCGGCTCGCATTAGCCGCGCGTTTGCAAGCTTCTCGTGGTTTCAAACGCTCAAACCAGTAGTGGCGGAACACCTTCAATTAAGGGGGGCACTGCCGACTTTTGGTCCCATTCTTTCCATGCAACGCCCATAGGGCTAATGTTAAAACTCCCAAATCAAAGGGGGGCACGGTGCCCTGGTGTCCTCCCCGTTCCGCCGCATATGGCTCAAACATGAGATTTGATGTTGCTCCCATGCATTTGGGCGGATGTCAAGGTCACCTGAAGGTCAGGTCAGGTCATTGACCTTTGGTGACCTCGGTTCACTCTTTCGAGCTGTACATGTTTCTAGGCTAGTTTTTGGAGCTGAATTCGAATTTAGCAACCATTTGAACCTTTACGAAGTAGTTTTGGTGCCTTCGTAGCATGTTACGAAGCTGTCAGAGGCGGTTGACACGTACTACGAATACCCGTCACGACGCCTACTGGTTGACCTGACCTGACCTGACCCGACCTGGTCTAAATGCTGTAAGACATCATCTGTGATCAAAACTAACACGATATTCGTGATCAACACTCCGAAAACCCCCTTAGCAGCCACACTTTACGACTTTCTAACAGGTCCCGATTTTCTCGACTTTGGGTCATTGACCTGACCTGGAAGGTCAACCCATGACCTAGGATCTTAAAATCGGATATCATCGGCTTGCTCTCGTCACGGGCAACACGCTCGTTTTTTTTTTCCGCGAAGTTCTAGCTCGATCAGGGGCCAGACGGCAAGGGGGGTCCAACCGACCCCCCCCCCCCTACACATTAGAAGCTGGCAAACGCCGCACACATGCGAAGGTTAAGGCAGGTCACTGATCTTTAGCGTCACAATTGATCCTCTGCACGGTCCTAAAAAGTCGCACATTTGCAGCGCCCTCAGTGTCAGGGATATTTCCACAGGGAGATAAAACTTACAAGAATTAGTAACCTCCCGAGCTCTCGCAACTTTCGCAACAGGTCGCCCACGTGACATCGCCGTTTTAACCCTCGACGGCACAGGCCATTTTGAGTCCTTCGACGGCACAAGGGGGGGGGGGGGGTACGACCCCCCCCCCTCGCGTTTGGCCCCTGATGGAGCTAGAGCTTCGCGGAAAAAACAAGCGTGTTGCCCGTCACGACAGGAAGCCAATGATATCCCATTTTAAGGTCCGAGGTCATCGGTTGACCTTCCAGGTCAGGTCAATGACCCAAAAATCGGGACTGTCGGGACCTGTTAGAAAGTCGTAAAGTGTGGCTGCTAAGGGGTTTTCCGGGGCGCTGATCACGAATATCGTGTTAGTTTTGATCACAGATGATGTCGTTAAGCGTTTATACCAGGTCGAGTCAGGTCAGGTCAGGTCAACCGGTAGGGGTCGTGACGGGTATTCGTAGTAAGTACCTGTCATCCGCCTCTGACAGCTTCGTAACATGTTATGAAGGCACCAAAATTACTTCGTAAATGTTCAAATGGTTGCTAAATTCGAATTCAGCTCCAAAAACTAGCCTAGAAACATGTAAAACTAAAAAAAGTGAACCGAGGTCACCAAAGGTCAATGACCTGACCTGACCTTCAGATGACCTTGATACCCAACCTAATGCATGGGAGCAGCATCAAATCACATGTTTGAACATTTGAAACCACGAAAAACTTGCAAACGCGCGGCTAATGCGAGCCGACATAAGCCGAATCGCGATTCCGGCCAAACATGGTCTCGGAAAAGAGGTCACAGGTCAAAGGTCATTTGGGTCAGGGTCATGAAATTTTCAGGGTAGATGTTAAATTGATGAATGCGAGGGTACTGAAAGTTTCGTCGCGATCGGCCCCTTTTTACGCGAGTTATTCGCGAAAAACCTTAGGGGAGGGTGTTGCATCAACCCCCCCCCCCTGTGCCGGCGAGGGTTAAGCAATGGAGAAATATGGACGGTGCTATTTTGGTGTCGGCAATGATCTAAGACTAACTCAAGCACATGGAATCGTGATTTCATACACCCCTTGCAAAATCTGATGCCTAACTTTTGCATCGTTGATCTTGCGTGACATCACTTGTCGCGTCACTAAGGTCATAGGAGTTTTTCGTCAATAGCTGTCGGTCAAATTGAGCTAGCGAGTCCCAAAACCAAACAGTGGTTTAATAAAAATCCGACAAATCGAATGATATGCAGCATGACCTCCTTTGACTAGTTTCGTGACTGAAAGGTTTGACCTGACGTTGCCCAGAGAACAACACGGTAAGTTAACCTCACCTGAACATATGTCACTCGACGCGCCTGAGCATGACGAGCGAACACAAAAATGCATAAATTACGGCTCCGAGATCATTTTTGCGAGGTTATTCACAGAAAACCCGATTTTGGGAAACCAAACCGACCTAATTGGTCACCGGTTGGCCGGAGACCCTAAAACCGGATATTGGTCACAGTGTCTGGTAGCGGCGAACACTACCATTCTTTTTCGCGAAGGTGGTCTACATAGCTAAATTTGGGACGAAACGGCGAGGGAGTTTCGCCAAAGAAAACATTGCTTACCAGCGATTAACCTTCGCCCCAGTGGGGGGGGGGGGGGCATATGTTACCACCCTGTCTCGTTTTTTGCGTGTGAATAAAAACCGCGGCGCGTAGCGCCGCGCCGCTTGGGGTAGCTTTTGGTACATCAATTTTGGACAATGTGTGAAATTTTTGACCCCAGGTCATGTCATGTCAGGTCACCAGGTCAAGTTAACTGACCAAGCCTAAAAACGTTTGCAATCATATCCAGCCTGCAGTGTTTGTCAGAAAGGTTTTAAAATTAGTGGATTGCATGCTGTTATGGGCGCCTACAATTTGAATATCTCGGATTTTTTATATCCGTGACCTAAGGTCAGGTCAGTGGCGGATACATTACAAGTCAATGGAGAAAAATGAAAATGCCTCTAGATCCGTGTGTACGCATAGGAACAGTCCAAATATTTCAGAATCACAATGATTTAGACCACTCATGATGACCAAGGTGTCATTTTTGCTGATAGCCTCTAGAAAGGTCATCCGAGGTCATTTGAGGCTACAAACAGTTTTTTTTGCCAATAACTCGCGATTGGAAAGAGACAGAACGCTGGGGATGGTCTCATTGTGTTTGTCTTGTTGAGACGCATCGACTGATATGCAACATGACCTTTTCCGGCCAGGTCATGACCTTGACCTGAGGTCAAATTTTCAATTTGACCTTTCAAGGTCAAATTATAGTTCATTCGACGCGACTCGGCGAGGGGAACACGATTCTGGCAATAGAAATGTCGTGGCTTTTTGTAGTCGAAAGTTATTGTCGAAAAACACTTTTCGTAAAAACAGCTATTTTTGAAGTTTTTGCCCTCTAGAGGCTAAACCAATGACCTGAGATCAATTTTGATAATGACCTTATCAAAAGAAGAGTTCAAAAGCTATCGATTGCTTTTCCCTGTGTTTTTCTAGCTACCATAGTTCCTTAGATAGCGGCATGTTTTCTGAAAAATATAATGACAATCGGCAAATTTTGACCTTTGATGACCTCTGGTGACCCCAATATTGCTCTAAGGTGAAAAATGACCGAAATACTTTCAAACGTACGCATTGAGAGCTATCGACTGCTTTTTACCGCGTCTTTCTAGCCCTCTTAGTTTTTGAGTTAGAGGTGGGTGGTAACATATGCCCCCCCCCCCCCCCCACTAGGGCGAAGTTGGCTGAGACCGCCACTGGGGCGCGGGTTAAAGAAAAAACGGCATAGTTTAATTACCATACTAATTACGGATGTGTGGTTCCTCAGGCAGCCTCCCTGAGGTCGGTCGGTTGGTTCCGGAGTCCTCACATGTCCGATCGACCCGACCATTCCAGTCTTTGGTTTTGTCACTGGAACGATCGAAATCTGCAACTCCATCTTCGAATAGCTCGACCGGAGATTGTGCGATGTACCTGCAGCGCTCTGAGGTCTCTCTCTCTCCTTCTCTCTCTCTCTCTCTTCTCTCTATCTCTCTCTCTCTCTCTCTCTCTCTCTCTCTCTCTCTCAATTATGTACATACATACCCATGTAGAAGCAGACTCGCACCAGCACGTGCCGCTCTGCTGCCCGACCCGAACACAAAGACGGCTCCAGACGGCGGGACACCTCTAGCCTCCACCCAACGATAGAAGAGGCATGGTCTGTATCGTGAGTTTACAGGGCCCATACAGAAAACTGTCAGGCGAAGACTTCCCAGCGTGGCCATGAAAGCCACAATGCACATTGGACAGGTCAGGTCGGCGCGAGATGTCCGTGTCATTCTGCTACACACTACCTGCGCTGGGCGACCAAGAGAACCGAGAACTTATCACATCAGATGCCTGATGATTATAAG